TGTGCGCTGTCAACGATTTTTTCGTCACGTATCTGTTGGGATTTGGGGCAACTTTTAGAGGGTGCATAATACGTGATCTAGAATATTACTTCATGTGGATCGCATAGACAGCCTTTACGGAAATGACGAGAGGCAAAGGCGAAGAGACTACTTTAAGCCAAAATTAGTGAAAGTGATTACAATTTCTTCCCATTATATTGCGGGATGTCCCTGCCTATGATAACAGTTATAATAGTGTTGTTTGTGGTAATGTCTTAAACATCAGTTGTGGTTAGCCAGTTCCAGACATCCTGTCTGCAGCCACGTTTTATCAGTGGTGTCAATCTAAGTGGTCGATGACTTTTACAAACACTTTACCTTTTTTCCCCATCAATTATTTCAGGGCTTGCGCTTACCCAAGCCGTGTTTCAGTTTTGCTAGTCTTGACAGTTTGTCTGACTTCTCTTCTACACTCGCAACCCCTCAGACATATTGAGCCCAGTACAATAAACGTATCCGTATAGACCTGCGTCGGTGTGTTGTCTCATTCTCCTTCCTCGTAACACTGTCTAGCCTCTATTATAAGAACAACCTAGATACAGTGTTACACTACTCAGACTCTGCTATCTTTCACAGCAAGGAGGCATGGCGCAAAGGCAAAGGTGATATCCTTTTTCGAGAAAAACTTTGGGCCAAAAATCAGCAAACAAGGACCCACTGAAAAAACTTAAGGTCGACCATGAGGGCCATGATCCCATAATTCAAGAGATTTCCCAACATATCAGACGGGCGTCGTTTGTCGCAGGAATGTTGGCAAATGCGGATTCGACAGAGATCCAGCAGCATCCTACAAATATGATGGTTGGCAATTGGAAAACGATTCTTATGAGATTGTGTGATTCCGCGGTCCCCAGCTGCCAGAGGCATTGATACAAGAGGAGGTACCCCATGATAAGGAAAGTTATGATGTTTTCCAGCTGTCGTCGTCAGATGAAGACAAAGTTACAGCTCTTTTCATCAGACGATGACAAGGAACGGGAAGATTGACCGGGGCAAAACATACCTTATCCATTACTACAGAGAACTACGACAAGCCCGAACCTATCTTACGTTCTTGCCCTAAGAATTAGTTTTAACTTGTACCGTAAATCGTTTGCTTCTGAAGGTAGTAACAGTTTGATCTCATAAGACAGGAAAAGTCTTCATAGTTTTGTGTAATTTACGTGTGAACATACCAGACAACAATAAGGAGAGTGCTTTTTTGTATTTCATATCTTTTAGTATGGTTATTGAATTGATTTCCGCAAGAACCCTAGATATCGTACATTTAGATTTTAAAGTTATACCGTCCATGGTCATTAAAAAGTTAATTAGGGGTCATTGCTGGTAATGTGGTTTTTGACCTGTTCCCTTTCTCCAAGGCCATCGTGGCTTACCGTGTTTCCAGCATTTAACAAAGCGACTAAACCACAAAGTGGCTGGAGTAAAGACCACAAGCGCTAGTAGAGGACACGTAGCCTACGCCGTGTCCGAAATGGGCTTCCAGAGCAATGGCTAGGTCTATTGTCTGCTCATCTCCGCGTATTTCCGATGGAGTGAAGACTTAAACCTATACAATAGATTTGGATGCTACCCTAGTCACAATCGAGGCCTTTTTCACATTGTCGAGAATTTGTTTCCTGTATTTTACGAAATGCATACCTAAACGGAAGCAAACGGCCAAATAATCATAAACGATGGTGTCAACATACATTAACTTGTTCAGAATATCACGAAGTAAGTGGTAAAATGTATATTAGTTAGCAGCCAAAATTTACATTTACAAGCTTATCAATAAGTCAACAAATGAACCGGTAAAATCAAGTTGGAAGAGGCCCTGCCTTCGCTGCGTATCATAAATGTGTGGCGCTGGTCTTTGCTCCAATCGTTTGGCCGTTGTTATCAGTTAAGCCATAATGGTTTCGGCGAAAAACTAATTTCAAAGTGGCCTTTCCACCATAATTTCTGTTCTTAAGTTGGTAATTCTCATTCAGGTGGCATGTAGTTTCGTACATGTGCCTATCGTAAGTACAATGACAATCAGCCCTTGGGTATTAATCATTAGGTACCATTTTGGGCGTTTCTTCCCATATTTAACGTCTAGTTAGAACTGACATTTGCAAGACTTTTGATATCCGAGAGGTGCATCCGTTAACCCCCTCTTCATTTTAAGGCCCATTCCAATCTGCTGTGCAGTACACGTCAAAAGATATGGCAATTTCAATTAAGTACAGTTCTGGCTTAATTAGTTACCTTTGACCTGTTCTTAAGTGACTTTGCCACCACAATTTTCATTCTTTATGTTTGTGAATCTGAATGAGCCCACCACCCTCTATCTTCATGAATTGGTTTCAAACTTATACCTTTCATGTTAATTAGCATCGTTCTACCGGAAATGCTTCTCTGACGTTGCTGATTGGCATTAAGTGTGATGTACTTAATCATGTGGCATAGAAATGGAACTTGTACCTTGTGTGTTAATTCAATCCAATTTTGGGGAGTTTTCAAGTTGCACCCCCTCTCACACCCACGACCGGCGGAACATAAGAATGGCAGTTCTCTGTAAGGGTAGCATAACACCCATAGCGCCCCAAATCTTTTGTTCCTTCCATATTGAATAGACTTCGCCTATACTATTACCCATTACCGAACGGCAATTATTGAAAAAATCGTGTTAATGTGGTACATGCATTGTCATCGTGGTACATCCTAGGAAGGAAAGGACCGTAAATGCTTTGCTTGTTTTTGAACCTTTATAGTTTTATCTGAATTTCAAGTAATAAGGCTTTGGTGGCAGTTTTTACACACTTCTAATCGTGATCAAATACTGTCTATTTTAATAGCCAGCCGAGCAAACACAATTTACTATATTCACTTGAAATTTAAGCGTTTTTTCCCTTCCCAATAGATTATCAGCCAGCAGTCAGTATATTTGAAAACTCAAGTTTGATCCCGTCTAATTTTGACGTCCTGTGATGTAATTTTAAAAAAGAGTCGCAGTTATGTGTAATCTGACCAGTGCATTCAGCATTTTCATCCCTTCTACAGGGATGCCAAACTTCGAATTGCGAGTGGTTGATGTGATGTTCGATAGATCCAGGAGACTCGTGCAGGGTCGCTGCGGCGGGAAACAAGAATGGGGCGCCATCTGCAGCAATACGTTTGACAGGCCAGGGGCCGGGAGCATCGCCTGCCGCGATCTCGGATTGGCTGAGTATGCCACGTCGGTAGGGGCTGTACCCTTCACTCACGTTGAAGCACAATACGTGACGAATTACACACTGTTCGTTGACATAGGTTGCGCTGGGAACGAAGCGAGTCTGAGTGAGTGTGAGCACT